AGGGCTGCTTTCAGTGTAACTTCGTAGGCCTCTCTCCGGGCATCGTGCAGATTCACTTAAATGAGACGTTGTTAAATATGGTGTTGCACTTTGCTGTGAACCCCTGGCCGTCATTAGTCTATTTGTGTAGCAGAAAGGGAGGGTGTGGCTGTGGCAGAGAATGTTCCGGGGGAGGACAGGGAAGGAGGACATTCATCTGAGGTAATAATATGGCCCCCTGTTCCCAGAGCTCGTCCTCACACTTATCCTCACAGCCTTCCAGGGCAGTGTTGTTGTCCCTGTTTTGCAGATGAGGAAGTGAGGCACAGAGAGAGCAAATTTGCCCAACGTCACAAGAAAGTCTATGGCAGACCAGTGAATTCCACCCCGCTTTCGCAAGGCACAAGGCAGTGGCCTATGCGGAGGACCACCCTTCCTTTCTGGAGGGAAGGCTTCAAACTGGTACCAAAAGAAGTGCCCTTCCCAGGTTTGTTTGTGGAAGGAGTATACAGCGCGTCAGTACCCGTGAATGTAAACACCGAGGGGATGTCTGCACTAGGAAATTATTTTGACATAACTAAATTCGAAATAATAACTCCCGAAATAACAATTTCGAAGTAACGTTATTCCCCGAGGAAAGCAGGAGTACCGATTTCAAAATAACCAGCCTGGTATTTCGAAATACCCAGCATGGTAGCGTGGACACTCTGCGTATTGTTTCAAAATAAGGGGGGTTATTTTGAAATAACTCTGGGTCCAGCAGTAACGGCGGTGGAAGTAATGGGTTGGAACTGAGCACAAGCAAGGTGGAAGGCCAATAAATATTTCCTGATGATGAGAGCTGTCAGATTGCAGCCTGGTCTGCCAGGGAGGAGCAGAGGGGGACACGTCATCCAACGTGAATAGAAACGAGGAGGCCCCGGACCAGACACCAACTGCCAAAGTTGGGAGAGAAGTTGATCCCTGAATTTCGAGAATCCCGGACTTCCCAGAAAACTTCTGAAACTTGTTTTCACTTTCCAGGCCATTTCCCACTTGTTAAGCTTTCAAACAAGCACCGTTATGCTGTCTCCCAGGCTGCCCCTCAGGTTTGGGAGGAGCTCCCAGTAGACCTCCACAAAGCCACCTCACTGTCCTCCACTGAATCCCTCCTCAAAACTTCTTTGCTGTGAAGCCTACTTGCCTGCAGTGAAGCTCTTGGTGCACTGAGGCCACGGCCTGACATACTGAGCCGTATTATCTCATTGGTTGTACTGCCTCATGTGTCTGCATCTTTGGGTGTGTCTATACTACAGGGTTTTTTTGGAAAAAGGGACTTTTTAAAAAAAACAACACCTGCGTCTAGATGGCTGCCGCAATCTTTCGAAATTAATCGAAAGAACACGGCCAGTTTTTTCGACTGCGGTAAACTTCGTTTTACGAAGAAGAAAGCCTTTTTTTGAAAGTGCTCTTTCAAAAAAAGGCGTTCTTGAATGCAAACTGCTTTTTCGAAAGAGAGCATCCAGACTTCCTGGGTGCTCTCTTTCGAAAAAGAGGCTTGCTTTTTTGAAAGAAGCGGTCGCAGTCTAGGCGCTCGCTTTCGAAAGAGGCTTGTAGTCTAGACGTAGCCTTTATCTGGTTTCGTTTTATCCTCTGGGTACATCTACACTGACAGTGGTGTGGAGTGCAGGCACTTGGAGTATTGCTATACAGCAGTGTTATTTCGGGATAACTGATGTTATTCTGAAATAACAAAGAGCACGTCTACGCTACACACGGTTATTTCGACATAGTGTCAAACTAATGTCAAGCTGGGGGACTTCTTACTTCGGCTCTTGTAACCCTCATTGTATGCGAAGTAAGGGAAGTCAGAGGAAGAGTGCTCTTCCTTGCACTTTTTGCTGTGTAGACAGCGCCAAAAGCTGAGTTGAGCTATTTCGACTTAAGCGCCGCAACTGACGTAGCTGAAGCTGCGTCGCTCGTTACGGCTTCAGCCCTGCTGTGTAGACGTGCCCTAGTGCAGGTATAAATAGCCGTGGCTTAGGTGAGTGGGGTAAAGTGCATTACACACCTAAGCCCCCAGGCTTTTTACCATACATCACTCTCTCAACGCCCAAGCCGTGCCACTTTTGCGCGGCTAGTTTTAAGCAGTTGCATCCCGCCCTCCGACCAGCAGTGGAGCCTTTCCCCACAGCAGTGAAAGGCTCTGGTGGTGGCATAGGGCATCGGGACATGTCCTTTCCCTGCTGTCTCCCCCCTGCCGCTTTTTCGCTGCTGCCAAAGCCTTTCTCTGGGCATGGAGATACACGCCTCAGAGACAACTGAGGATGCAGACGGCCTTTCATTGCGGCGCCAGCTGCACGCATGCTGCCTGTGCTCTGTGCTCCTCTGTCAATGCAGACGTCTCCCTATATTCTAAGCTTTTGGGGTCAGATGTAGTCTTTTTGCTACTGTTTGTTCTGCGTTTGTACAGTGCCTAGCACAATGAGGTCCTGGTCCATGCTGGGGCTCCTTGGCTCTATGGTAAGGACAATATTAAGAAGATGGAGGCAGGGCATTCTTCATGAGGTTCTTAGACTCTGGAATTCTCTTCCCTACCCTTGGTCAGCCAGAGCTGGCTTTGTGATCCTTCAAGCATGGGGCAAAGCCCGCCTTTTCTTAAAGCCATTCCAGGAAGAAGGAGTTTCTAGCTGGTGGATGAAGGCCATCTGTCCTTGTCCCTGTAGCAATAAACACGCCTAGCGGAAAACCCCTAATAACGCCCTTGTTGCTGTTCTCTCACCCCACAAGCTGACTCAATTAATTCAATCACAAGAGATCATTCTCCTCCCGCATCAGTGTGGTGGATTTTGGCTAGCTGCGCTGTATTCATTCCAAGCAGGGAGCATTGACATGGATAGCATGGAGCATGGCGGATAAGGAACGTGCAACAGAGGGATACACAGTGGAGTCAGCAGAAGGGGAAGATTTGCCACCCATGATCTGGAGAACTGGATAACGAGGAGCCAGTTTAAGGGCACGTGGCTGACAGGAGCTTTGGAGTCACACATCTAAGGAGAGCTATTCCTCTTTCTCATCCCCCGTCGTGTCTTCGCCACTGTTGCTAACGGCTGGCCAGATCTAAGACATAAGAGGGACTACCCACACGAGTCCTCTCGCCTATGCCCTCACCCATGAAACCTTTGCAAAGTTGTTTTGCAAGGTGTTTACCCCCAATGCCTGGCCCCTTGCTGTTTGGCTCAATTCGGATTCAAGCAAAAACCTGCTCAGCCTTAACGTTTAACAGGCCCCACCTTCTTCTGCATAAAAAGCAAGCCAAATTCTTCCCTGGTCTACTGCTGTTGAATTTGGTGCAGTGTGACTTGCAGTGAGTTTGCCCTTAATGAGTTTAAAACAATCCTTGGCCCTGTTTTGAGCAGCCAAGTGGTAGATCCATTAAACAGACTGGGGGTGCATCTACACTGTAGGGCTTAACTCAGAATAAGCTATGCAAACTGAGCTACATCCATTGCACAGCTTATTTCGAAATAGGGAGTGTCTACATAGCACTTAATTCAAAATAGAGCACTCTTCCTTCGACTTCCCTTACTCCTCGTACAACGAGGGTAACAGGAGTCGGAGTCCTCCAGTTTGACAGTATTTTGGTATTATTTCGAAATAACTGCCTGCTGGGTAGACGCGGACTAAGTTATTTGGGAATAGCGCTAATTATTTCGAAATAGTGTTGCAGTGTAGAAGTACCTTTGGTCACACAGTGGATCATACCACACCATTCCTATCCCTGTCTTGTCTGAATTAATTATTTAACTCCCCTCTTTCCTTCCATGAGTGAAACTAATTTTGCTCCACCTCCCTTGCCCCCATGCACCATGTAGTCCCATGCTGGAGAAGAGCTACAGTGGAGAAGAGCTACAGTGGAAAATTAGAAGAACAAACTCCTTTCCTTCAAGGAGATCATGGCACCAGTGTTCCCTGTATGCTGCATGGCCACTCCAGAGAGATTCTAATGCCACTCAGCTGATTAGCAGAGTGCCCACCGCTAGAATTGTGCATATTCATACACACCTGGGCTGTGTCTACACTGCATCCCTTTTCCGGAAAAGGGATGCAGTGTAGACACAGCCCTGGGTGCAGTTCACAAAATTTATTCTGCACACACAAAAAATCCGCACATGGATGGAAAAGATTAGAAGGAATGTTGCATGGCACCCTTTGGGATGAACAATCAGGAATCAAAGCAATATGGGATTCAAAGCATAAGTGGGAAAAGGAGTTGGGGACACAAAAAGGAGCCCAGGCGTGGAATCACCATAATATGATCTTCTTCCCCTGCTAAGGTGCCAGATGCCAGCGTAAGATTCTGTGTGTTGGCTCTGACTGGGTAGCTAGTTAACTCTCTTTTCCTCCAAGTGAGGGGACAGGAGGGTCACTGTGATCTGGCTGAATACCTGGCTTGCTGTGCTTGGCAAGCGAGGCCCTGTGCAGCCGGGGGAAGGCTGGTGAAACAATGCCCATTCCAGCTGGATGTTATCACGCAGTTTATTTATTTATTTTCCTCTTCGCTTGTTTTGTCTCCTTGCCTGCCAGATGGTGGTTTCTAATTGGTGGAAGGTTTTTCACCCTCTTCTCGTCCTCGGAGCTGCAGTGATAGCAGCTCCCGGAAGAGCTGATTTGACTATACGTGAGCAGCCCCTTGCTCCCATTGCCTCATTAACCCTTTCCGGAGCCTGGTGCTAACGATGAAGGGCCCAATTCGCCTCCCCCAGCCAGGGCTTTCACACCATTGACATCCCTGGATTGACTCCTGGTTTGCACCAGTTTATGTGAGAACAGAATCAGGCCCGATGAGAGGCTGAGTGAACCGAAAATGTGTCTGTTTCTCACATACCGTTGGTTTAGTTTGATCTGATTGGCTGGGCAAATTGGCACATGCCCAGCCAGTTGTGTGTGGGGGGAGGGAGGGAGGGGGAAATCTTGTTATGAAACCAAGCTGGTAGCATTTGCTGAGCCTCATTTTTTGTCTCCTGTTTTCTCTCTTTCAGAACATGGAGAAGGTGTTGGTTCCTTCTGTCACACTAATCGTAGGCTGTGGAGTCTCTTCCCTGACGCTTTTGCTCTTGATTATCATTTACGTCTCTGTCTGGAGGTACAGATTTCTTTCTCCACTCTTCTCATAGGGCGCGGTAGTCGTCACTTGGCCTGGGTGGATGCTGGAGGTTTTGCCCTCCTTTTGTGGCTGTTCGGGTATCCGAGGCAGAACCCTTTTCTGATGAGCAAGTGCTGAAGGAAGTGGTGTTAGTGACTCAGTAGCTGGCATTCCCTTCTCTGGCATGTAACCCAGACTGGTGCTGGCTGGAGAAGCTATAAAGTGAGTGTTGAACTCTTGAGTCATGGATGTTAACATTTTCAAAAGCGACTTGCTCTTTGGGTTCTTGGGAGTCCACCTTGAGCCACTTTAAAAGGCCTGATTTTCTGAGGATGTGGGCTCAGCACATTTTGAAAATCAGGACCCTTTACAGCAGTATTTCTTAAACTTTTTAAGACCGAGGAACACCAAACAATATTTTTTTTATGAGGAACCCCAAGGATTTTTTGTTGAGCAAAAAAAAAATAAATAAAATGTTGCCTGCCCCTGTAAGAGCAGCCATTTTTTTGAACTCTGTTGTTTTCTGTGGGACATCTCCAACTGCCTTGTTGGCACAGTGGTGTACCACAGAACACAGTTTAAGAAACAGTGCTTTACGGTGTCTCGAGTTTGAGAGGGGTAAAATCGAAGCATCCAACATCACCAGTCACTTTTGAAAATGTAGGTCCGAATGATCCCACAGCAATTGTCCTAAAATTACGGCTATCAATCTGAGAGTCCTGATCTAATCTCAATTTAGATCGTGACATTCTGCCTCCCTCAATCCCCCCTACAGTTTCTTCTTGGCGTCCTGTTGAATAGGGTTCACTGTTCAACAGCTGCTGTGTACGACCCTAGGATTAGCTGCATTTTGTGGTGACTGTGGCTCCTTAACTTACAAAGTTGGATCCATCCAAGGCCTGCACTGGCATAGAGTCTCCAGAGGAAAGATCCAACCCAACATCCAGGTCATAAAATGTGTGTAATGGTAGATTTAAGGCCAGAAGGGACCTAATCCGTCCTTCTGTATAGCACAGGCCTTTGAACTTTACCCAGGGAGTCCTTCATTGAGCCCAAGAGCTTGAGCTAGAGGGTCTATTGGAGAAAGTCCAACCTTGCTCTAAAGACTCCAAATTCCGGAGAATGCAGCACATTGCTTGGTAAACTGTCCCAACTGTCCGCTACTCTCACTGTTAATAATGTACACCTTATTTCCAGCCTGAATTTTTTAGCTTCCGATTCCACCCGCTGGGTCTTGGTATGCCTATGCCTGGGGAGTGAATCGAGGTGAGTTTGAGGTGAATGTTGGGGCTAGTTTGTAGCAAGATTGGGCCTCCGTTTTATATTTACCCGAGGCTGAATTGCCAAGCAAGTTTCCAAGGGAGCCTGCAACTCTAGTTTGTCTAGGTTAAGAAACCCTCCGTTATGACCGGAAATTTTCTTCCTATACTCACAGACTGAGATCAGATCACCTCTTAAACCTCACCTTGATAAGCTAAATGAGTTGTGAGGTCCTATAGCCTCTCACTGGTAAAGGCAGGTTTCCAGATCTTGAATAATTTTTATGACTCACCTCTGGGCCCGGCCAATTGTTCCAGTATACTTTTTGAACATGCGGCCGTCAGGACTAGACACACTTGTAGTAGCATTCTCCCCCGAGATGCAGAGGCAAAGGCTCCTGCTCAACTTGCCTCTATTTATTACACATCCCCGGATAAAATTAGCGCTTTGGGCAAGTTATAGTACCCAAACAGTCGAGAGATTTCAGAAGTGGGCCCAGCTGTATTATTCCTGGGTCATGAGCATCCAAGTCCAGGAGCTCCGCAACTCTGGCCTTGTGCCCATGTGTGAGGAAGTAGCTTCTTGTGGCAACACCGTTCTGCCCACATGGTGTTCTGCGAAGAGCACTTTCCGGAATTCAGCTGCTTTGTGGAAATTTAGCTGAAAATTTCCCATGCAGATCTTTTGGACAAAGGCAGCTAGAGCAGAGGGGTGTAGGCTTGACTTGGAAATGAACCTGTGCTCATGAATAGACTCACTGAGGCTGATAAATTTGGAGGCATTCCCAGAGTTCTGCCCAACTAGAGTTTGCTTCTGTGTGGGAAGGCAGAGAGAGAGAGAGACAGAGAGAACAGGAGCCAGAGAAAGGGAAAGAAGCAGGCGTTTGGTGATCAGGACTTTTGGAGAGCGGGCCAGATAACCGAGAGAACATGAAACAATCCTCTGCTTCTCCATCAAATCCTCACACACTGCTTCCCAATACGTACCACGCGACCCAAGAGAGGGGATGTGAGGCTCGAGCGACCAGTTTCAGATACCATCCAACTGAATGTTGTTACCGTCTGACGGGCTGTTGGGTGGCGTCGGTACAGTTCCTGCTGGAGCCCTCCCTTAGCTCTCCAGAAAGGGTACATCCCTCCCTTGGCTGGCAGCCTTGATAGAGCCGCCAGTGACTTAATGGACCATGGAAACTGAACTAATTCCGTGTCCCAAGCAGAGGTGCGTCCAGGTCAGGCTTGGAGAGGCAATCTGCTCATGGCCCGTTGTGCTCCACATGTCCTGTGAGTAAAGAGAGGACTACCCTTCCCCGAACAAGGCATCCTAAGCCTTGTGTCAGTACAGAATTCTCTTTCCGAAATGCCCCACAAATAGGCAAAGCCCAGGGAATGGACGCTAGCGAGCAATTGACTCTGCCCTGGCTGAGGAAGGGCCAGGCGATTTTCATCTTCTCACAAAGCTTTGATTGTCGTGACTCTTTTTGCTCTGCTTCCTGATGCTCGGGAGCATCCCTGAGTGTGCGAATGTGTTTCCCATCCGGGCCTCGCTGTTGTGCGGCAGCTCCCCGAGCTGGAGTGACCTTTCCATACCACCATGATCAATGTTCCCTATTGATTAGTTCTCCCACTGCTTCTCTCGTCAGCCAGTTAACAAGCTAGTTCTCTGGCTGGCTGTGGACGGTTGTGTGAAAGATACGTCCCTTGTCTTTCTGCAAGATACCAGCATGAGTTTGTCTCCCTCCTTGTCCCTCACAGCTGAGTGTCGTTTTAGTAGCTATCTGTGAACTGCCAAAGGGCTGCTGCTTCCTGTTGCATGCTGGCTTGGCTTTAAATCCAGGGGGCTTCCCTTCACTAGAGGTTCTCAGATGCTGGAGTGGGGCGGGGGCGGGGAGGAAGGAAGGAAAAGAGGGAAGGAGGGAAGAAGAGAGGAAGGAAGGAAAAGAGTGAGGGAAGAAGTGAGGAAGGAAGTGAGAAAGAGAGGGAGACAGGGAGTGGAGGCAGCAAGGAGGAAAGTGGGGAGAAAGAGAGGGAAGAAGGAAGGAAGAGAGGGAGGGAAGAAGAGAGGAAAAAAGGAAAAGAGGGAAGGAGGGAAGAAGAGAGGAAAAAAGGAAAAGAGGGAAGGAGGGAAGAAGAGAGGAAAAAAGGAAAAGAGGGAAGGAGGGAAGAAGAGAGGAAGGAAGGAAAAGAAGGCGGGAGGGAGAGAGGGAGGGAGGAAGAAAGGAAAAGAAGGAAGCAGAGAGGGAGGGAAGAAAGAAGGGAGGGAGAGAAGGAGGTAAAGAGGAAGAGAGGAAGGAAGAGAGGGAAGAAGGAAGGAAAAGAAGGCGGGAGGGAGAGAGGGAGGGAGGAAGAAAGGAAAAGAGGGAAGCAGAGAGGGAGGGAAGAAGGAAGGGAGGGAGAGAAGGAGGTAAAGAAGAAGAGAGGAAGGAAGAGAGGGAAGAAGGAAGGAAAAGAAGGCGGGAGGGAGAGAGGAAGGGAGGGAGGAAGGACTCTCCCTGCAGTTTGGAGAAGCTGGAGCTATGCTTCCCTCTGCCTCAGTTGTGAAGGGGCTTTGTCCCATCAGAAGTATTCTGGAGCATCATGATGGGTGATCTTCTGCACGTTGGTGGGTGAATGCAGAAGCGTTTACCATCGCGCAGGGGAACGTGCAGTGACCCTCACACGGTGGTGAGGGTGCTGGGCAGCGACACCCCTTGGACGTGGTGTGCATGCAGAGTAGGTAGAAGAGGCCCTGCCCCAAGTGTCCCCTCATCTCGGAATTGTCAGAGCTAGAGTCCAGCAGAGAGTGAGTCCGAGGACAACAGCTGCCTGACGGGTTACTCTAGGACCAGGGCGAGGGGTGAAAGCAGGGTGTTTTGTTTCTGTCAGGATGAAACTAGGGTAGCCTGGATACTGGAGTACGGTAGAGGTAGCCGCTCCCTGCTGGTGCAGCCCCAGCCAGTGCTTCATTATGGATAAGTTGCTCGTTCCATGACAAACCGTTGGCCAACACTTGGCTAGGGCTGACTGCCTTGGGCAATGCAGGACAAATGGGCATTTGCCGTGGCTAGCTGGGCCCCATTGTCCATTGCCCTGTATTTTGTGCTGCCACTTACCACCAGCGCAGAATAGCTGTAACGGGAACAGGAACATTTCTAGCCCATTTGCATGGGTGTAGTTGTCTGCAGGCGGCACAGGCCTTGGGGAACCAGGGCCGTTCTCCGGGGGTTGTGTCAGGCCCTGAGGTTGACAAGACGATTATGCTGTCGATGTTAATGACAGCAACGGAAGAGATCTGTCCAGCAGCCTGAATCCAAAAAGCCCTGAACTCTAGGGACGCAAGAATCTGGATCACAACTGTGAGCCTATATTAAATGAACCACCCAGTATCACACCCCAATCAGAAGGGAGCCCGCAGGTCTGTCTGCCTGCTCTGGTCATTGCGCATTGCCTCCCTCGCTGGAAAACCAAGAAGAAAGAGTGCTTATCTCTAACCCTCTGCCACAAAAAAAAGTGAATTTCCT